AATAACTTCCCTACATCTCAATGTCCCTTCTCTTTATGCATTTGTAAACAACTGTGTCAGAACACATTGCTCTCAAACACTCTAATACACCCATCAGTACCTAAACTTTGAGTACCTAGGCTTTTTCATCTATTGGTAACTTAAAAGAAAGGTCTTACCTTTTGAACTTATTTCTTTTAAATTAAGGAAAACAGCGTAAAAGATGACTTTAAAGGAAACCGTTCTTCCTCTTCCTTTATTTTACTTAAAAAGGAGTTTACTAGTTGGCCTTTACTTTGTATATCTTAAACTTTTTTGTTCAGAAATCAGATTTATATCAAAGTCTTAAAAAAATCACTGAATTATTTTAACCACAATGGATGAGTCACTGATGAATTGATTAAAGGCATGACTTAACACATTCCTGCTTCAGAGGCCTCACAAGCTTGTGAAAACTGCTAAGAGCTACATTTAGATAACCAGCCAAATACACATCAGAGAAATTATTTCCATCAGAAGGCTCTGTCCAGCCTTTTGAAAGAATGAGGCAATGTATGACAAAAATCTACTGTAATTCTTAACACCCACCTCTGCAGGTTCCAAGTAATCACCTTCCAAGGTGGTATGTCATGCATGAAGTATTTTTTTAATGTTTCTAAAACTATCCCTTAGAAATTTTAAAAAATAAACTGTCTTTTTAGATTGGGATGCAAAACATGAAATCATGTTTTGCTTCTAAAACACCAACACCTACATACAAACTGCCAGAAATTAAAAATCTATTATCAGTGTAGTTGTATAAACTACCAAATCTGCAAGGATCCCAATCTTCAATGTTAAAGGATAGTTAATAATAGGAACAATATTCTTGGGACATGTAACACAGGGTCAAAGACCAAAAGAGAATCAGTATTACTGATAAATCAGAAACCCAATCTTTAATACCTCTTATTGATAGCACTGAAAGAATTCCTACAGAATTATTTTCAAATTTAATCCAGTATCTTTCTATTTCTACTGTTCATCCTAGAAATCTAATATGTTCACATGAGTCTACAACCACTAAACAAGCGAATGAATGATGATAAGCTAAATGTTAGTGCTGATAAACGATCTGCAATTTACCTTGACCAGAAGTAACACTAGTGAAACACTGGTAATAAGAGTAAATTTAAAATACTAGTAAATACTAGCTTTTAAAAAAATGTCCAACAATCATGGTACCCAATGTATTAATATTTGTCATATGGCTATATGATTGAGACAACATATTCATTAAATTTAATCATTTAAGTAATACTAATAAATTACTATTACTCTTAATTTTGGATTATACATGGAGGTACATACACACATGTACCTGTTCTAACAATGTATTAATTCACGAGAAGACTGGGCATGTCCCAGGCTTTCCTCTAAATTCTCATACTTTACCATGCATCAGAATCCTCTGGGGAGGCCTGTGTTAAAAGATTGCTGGTTCCCACCCCAGAGTTTCAGAAGCTGTAAGTCTGTGAAGAGGTCCAAAAATCTGTATTTTGAACAAATTCCCAGGTGATGCTGACAGTCAAGGGACCACAGTTTGGGAACCACCACTCCAGTACCCTTGCCTGGAGAATGCCATGGACGGAGGAGCCCGGCAGGCTACAGCCCATGGGGTTGCAAAGAGTCGGACACGACTGAGCGACTTCACTTCACTTCACTCTTAAGTGACCTGTGAATCGCAGATGCTAGAGTGAGGGAGAGAGAAAGAAAGAGGGGGAGAGAGGAAGGGAGAGAGAGAAAGAGGGAAGGATGGAGAGAGAGGGAAAAAGAAAGGTTGAGATTAAGCTAATAGGCAGTTCTGGGGAAGAAGGTAGAGGAGAAAAGTGAGTTCAGATATTTCCCTCCTTCCTAACACTTGCCTTTACCTTGCTGGTTAGCAAAGACTAAGGAATCAATAAAGACTTCTCAAATGACAGCATACTTGGCCAACACACAAACCTTTTCATGCTTAAAAGGCTAGACAGATTGCTCCCACTACAAGTTTTAGAAAAATGCTATTGCCAGAAACTTCAGCCGTTCAATAGCCCCAGGTGGGACTACTTTCAAGAAGACACTGAAGGGGCAGGGAAAGCTAACTATTGAGTTTTCCGTATTAAATAAAAATAGTAATAATGTTCACCAGTAAAACATGGGTGAGCAATGATAATTATCAAACAACTCCTATAACATGCAGAAAATCCCACTATAGAAACAGTATGACTGTCTCAACTTCGTCAAACAAGGATGAATATTTTATTTAAATATAAGTTTTTTCAAGTTACTGAGCCAAATAAAGGAAAATATTAATTTTATTAGAACTTGAACAAATACTACACAAAGAAAACATTTTAACAAAATAATATGGTGGCGTAACAAACAAAAAGAAAACAGCCAAAGATGTGTAAAAGAAAATAAAAGGTGAAAAATGGTAAATATCTCATGATCTAGTGTGAAAATAAGGAGTCTAAACTTAAAAGAACATGGATTTTTAAAAAGCACAACCATAAAACAAAAAGTGAATGTTTGTGCTCTCCTAACCAGATATATTCTTCAGCAAAACTTCAATAGGCACAATTATATTTTACAGAATTTGATACCTTCTGACTTTTTCACAGAAAGAGACTGTTTATATAATTCAAATCTCACAGTTCAAAACAATAGCTTAAGCACTGAGAAATAAGTATTCTACTAATTAAAACGACAGGTGAGGCAAAACAACTAATTAGTCTTCAATGCTGTATTTTTCAACTGTAATAAGGACTTGATCCAACCAAATCAGGCCTTAAGCAATTCAGCATTCTTTTGTAATGCCCAAAGAATGCCTCTTCCCAGCCCGATTGCCATATATGGGAATCAAGAATCTAGTTAACAATAGAACACTCTTAGGGACAAATGTAGGAAGAGAAGACAAAACAGAGTTTTGAAATTTTATATATAACAAAGTAATTTGTAACCATTTTGGCTTACCAAATGCCAGAAGTTACCTAAATTATTTAAGTACATGTCCCCATCTTTGCCATTTATTTCTTAATACTGATATATTCATCTTTTTAACTGACCATACCAGGTTAATGATAGCATAAATCAATTTGAAAACTATAATAAAATACCTCAAGAACAGGTCTTTGAAGACATTTCTGTTAAATTTTGATTTTTACATAAAGGTGCAATTCTTACTTTTTTGGTAGAGAAGTGTATGAAATATTAATGTGGAAATATTTTAAAGAGATTGTCAACCAAGACAGGCTTCTCTACAGTTCATGATTGTCATCCTTAAAAGGACAGCAAATGTCACACTTTTACATGTCTTAAAACAACATAATTGTGATTTTTATAAACACCAAAAGGCAAAAATTTTAAACACTTCTGAAAAAATTTAAGCCCTTTGCACTGTGAATATCTGAAATTTATTAAAGAACATGCCCAACTCAAACTTAAAATGGGGCATGCAGTCAGTTGTCCCTCAGTGTCTGCAGAAGATTGGTTCCAGGACTCCCTGCACTACCCAGATTCACAGATGTTCAACTCTCTCATATAAAATGGCACAGTATCTACACATAACCCATGCACACCTCCCATACACTTTATATCATCTCTAAACTATTAATAGTACCTAATGCAAAGACTGAAGGCAGAAGAAGGGGATGACAGAGCATAAGATGGTTGGATGGCATCACCGACTCGATGAACATGAGTTTTAGCAAGCTCCAGGAGTTGGTGATGGACAGGGAAGCCTGGCATGCTATGCAGTCTATGGGGTCACATAGAATCAGACAAGACTGAGCGACTGAACTGAATGCAATGTAAACACCATGTAAATAATTGTAAATATAATGTAGTAGTAGTGTAATGTTAGTCGCTCAGTCATATCTGACTCTTTGCGACCACTTGGACTATAGCCCGCCAGGCTCCTCTGTCCATGGAATTCTCCAGGCAAGAATACTAGAGTGGGTGGCCATTTCCTTCTCAGGGGATCTTCCTGATCCATGGATCAAACCATGTCTCCTGCATTGCAGGCAGATTCTTTACTGTCTGAGCCACCAGGAAAGCCCAAATATAATGTAAGTGCTATGTAAATAGTTGAAGATGAGTGGCAAATTCAAGTTGTGTTTTTTGGAATTTCATGGAATTTTTTTTTCCAAATATTTTCCATCCTTCGATTGAATCCATGGATATGCAGATATGAAGGGTTGACTATATCTTCTTCTCTCCAAATATCAAATTCCTAGCAAATATATAGTATCATATACAATTTCAAATTAAATTCAAAGGCTTTTTTTTTGTTTGATTTTGCTTTAACCTGTCACGTAACATATTGCCATGAGTCTTTGGATGTGGCATCTAACCAGAAAAAGCTGTATATGGTAACTCTCTGTATGAGAGGTGCAAATACAGAAGGAGACAAGATTTTTGTAGACTATTTTTAAAACACGATAAATGGCATTATCAACATCACTCACGATTTAAATATTATGTATACATTACAGATCATCTCCATATCAACAATTATGTAAGGGGAACACTATAAAATAAAAATTTTATAATGTTTTTATGCAGTGCTTAAGCAACTGAATGTTTTATCTGAAGAGCCTATGATGTAAAAATCAGAATCAAAGTTTTGCTTTTTGAATGCATGGGTTGTAACCCACAGAAAATGAGGAGTAAACTGTTTGGTCAGGATCTTGTTAGTTTAAGAAGCAAAAAATGTAAGAACCAAAATATGCACACCATTAAAAATACTAATTCTGAAAATTATGTAGCCAAAAATTAAATCACCCTGTCCAGCAAGTTCCAAAAAATTCACACATTTCAAATATTAAGGCAACTTTTTCCCAACTAATCAGTACTTTATAAAAATATATGTCACTTCAAAACATTATATACATAGTGACAATAAATTTAGCTGGTTGTAATCTTTAATACATTAATAAAGTGTCACATATTACAAAGAAATTATACCAGGAGCTTGCATGTATGTGCAAGTGGAATTTGACTGTTTAAAGTACAGGTTTTAAAACTGAGCGAAGTGAACGTCCTTCTTTAGTGAGTTCTCGTGTCACGCACATACATGGCAATGGGATTGCTTCCTCCCGCTTCTCTACAATATTATAACTGCACTTCTTCAAGTGGTCAGCCATGCTCAGGATGTCAGCAAACTTCCATTCATTGACAGAACAAAATGCAGTACTGAATCGCCATACCTAGAAGAAAATTCCACATCAGATTTAAACCAGTCAATTTATAAGAATGAAAATATATTTCTTGCTCGAACTACATTTCTGTTATGAGAAATAAGTTTCAAGTAGCTTGCTACAAAATTCATTCTGATACAAATCTTTTTACTAAATATTTATAAGATAACTTCTATGACATTATGACTTAAAGAAATCTAATAACAAAAAAGAAATAACTCAGCACTCTACTAGATTTTCATCCTACCCAAAGGACTATGTATATAGGAGATATTGACAATACAAGTGTTATTTCTCCAAAAAAAATTTCCATTACACCATATGAAGTACACTAAAAAACACTCTAGGATACTGTGCAGAGGAACGTTTTCTTTTCACTATTTATAAATAGTAAAGGCATTTAGTAATACTGACGAATATAAGTACTTCAATGTTTCTGGAAATTTTTATAGAACTTTTTGTAAAATGAACAGTTCTTAATTCCGTATCATTATACAACACATTTCTGGGAAAAAATGCACCTCCCTAAGAACTTTCGGAGAAGGCTTTCTTGACAAGATAAGATCTGAAGAATAAGCAGGATATACCAAAGAGATGACGATCACAAGCTCCAGAAACAGGTTCCCAGGTCTGAATTCAAGGACAAGTTACTTAACCAGTTTTTTAAATCCATAAATAGGGACAGTAGATTAAATAAATTACTAAAAGTGCACACAGTCCACATATTTCAAGCATTCAAATGGAGGTTTCAGGGACAGTGTACTCAAACACCTTAAGGCAAGAAGAAAACATTCAACAACTACTAGTAAATTCGATGGCTGGAATATAAAGGAAACTGAAGAGGCAAGTAAGGACAAAATTATGAAAACTCTTAAATGTTTCATTAAGGAATCTGCCCCTAACCCAGGGCAATGGACAGACATTTTAAAAGTTTTTAAGCAGTACAGCGTAAGAACTGTATTCAAGAAATTATTTATCACTCTATGTCTTCTACAGGCAATATGTTGGAGAGGGACTCAGTTGGAAACAGAAGCCCAGTAAGGAAGTGGCTGCTATAGTAACCCAGAAGAGAACTGCAGGCGGGACCAACTAGGGAAACAGCAGTAGAAACGGGAAGTGAACTTGAGAGGCATGAAGAAGGGAGACAACAGGACTGTGTGAATACCAGGAGAAGGAAATAAAGCGGGGGAAAGGGCTAACCTGAACTCCCAAATTCAGAGTTTAGGCAACTTAAGAGACGATAATGCAGCTTTCTGAGATTAAGGAGGGCAGAGAAACGGAGTGGGCTGGACACGCTGAGTTTACTGAGGATAATCAAGTGGGGATGTCCAGTAGGTGCCGATACATAATGACCTGGAATTCAGAGAAGTGGCCAGGCACACACATGTAATTTGTATAAATGATGGCAATTTAAACTCCAAGAGGAGATGATATTTTCTGTAGTAATAGAATCCCCAGAAAATATTTCACCTCATAGATCAATACTAGTGGGCAAGGACAAAAAGGGACCATGCTCTGACTGTCCCAGTCCAATGGCAGAAATACACCAAATCATGTAGTAAATGAAGATATGCACATACTCACATATACACAGCAAGTATGAAATTTTCTATATAAAATAATTAATGTGCTCATTTACTGGTCAAAGCTTCAGGAGAGCACAGAAGCAGATGCAAAATTCTCAAAAACTGGAGCAAAGAGAAAACCTAAGGGTGATAAAAACAAAGTACCCAGAAATATACCCCCGTTCAACCAATATGAAGGTTATCAAATTTTTTTGTACTTTATGAAATCAAAGTTTCATATTATAAATGTTCTAAAATGAAAAAACACTTTCAATCAAAGACAGTTGTAATGCCTCCTAGTTTCAACTGAATAGTGCCTCAAATAGAACCTGGCAAAAATAAGGTAGCACACAAGGAAAATGGTGGGGCTAGGCTTTGTTCCCAGACGTACCTAAATCTCCAGGTGAAGTTTCCAACCTGCAACACACCCTTGTTCCATGCTAAACCCACAGTCCCTGCGAACAACATCAAATCCTACTGCCCTTATTTCACTTCAAGCCATCTCCACATCCATCCATTTTGTTTTCTATATTCCAAATTGACACCGTCAAACTGGTGATACAGACGAAGACTCCTGAGAGTCCCTCTGACTGCAAGAAGAACTAACTAGTCAATCCTAAAGGGAATCAACCCTGAATACTCATTGGAAGGACTGATGCCGAAGCCCCAATACTTTGGCCACTTGATGCGAAGAGACAACTCACTGGCAAAGACGCTGATGCTGGGAAAGACTGAGGCAAAAGGAGAAGGGGGCAGCAGAGGATGAGATGGTTGGATGGCTGACTGACTCAAGGGACATGCATCTGCGCAAACTCTGGGAGATGGTGAAGGACAGGGAAGCCTTGCCTGCTGAAGTCCATGGGGCTGCAATGTGTCAGATGCAACTTAGGGACTGAACAACATACCCCAAATACTCCACTGGTCACCTGCTAGTAGTAGTCATTTTTTCATGTCTCCTTATTTAAGTTTTACTTGTAACAACCAAGTTCTAAGAAAGAAAGGGCTAAGAATGTACAGAAGCTGCCAACTGCAAGCAATTAAAAAGACACCTTCTCTTTGACTCCTCCATCGTCCTACAGTGCAAATGTTTCAGATGGAGCCCAAATTAGGAAGAAGGTGGCTAACATGGACTCAAGCAAAGGGAGTTGTTTCAGAAGAAGTGAGTAGGTACAGAACCCCTCAACTGAAGATCTACAAGTAGCCTCTGTCAGATGACATTAGAATCTAGTTCTAGGATGTCTGCAGTAAATATGTGATTTTGACTAACAATTCTAACAATGTATTCATATTTTTATTATCTTTATAAAAAAGTTTGTCATCATACTGAATTATTTTTAAGGATGGTCAATTTCACAATGGGCTTCCCAGGTGGCATTAGTGATAAAGAATCCACCTGTCAATGCAGGAGACATTAAGAGACACAGGTTTGATCCCTGAGTCGGAAGATCCCTGGAGGAAGGCATAGCAACCCACTCCAGTATTCTTGCCTGGAGAATTCCATGGACAAAGGAGACTGGCAGGCTACAGTCCATACGGTCGCAAAGAGATGGACATAACTAAAGCAACTTAGCATGCATGCATGCAATTTCGCAACAAGGATGATCAATTTCACAGCAACAACATTATTACGTGCCTATTATATGTCAAATAAGGGGTTGATACAATTAAATGACACCAACCTTTTCTTTTATCTGCCATGATGAATTTCCTTCTGGATACTTCTTTTTCCCCCACTGAAGTATGACCATTCCGCGAGACTGGAGAAGACTGCCACACACATCCCTCATTAACTTGGATACACATGAGAGCTGGCATAAGCTGAAGCCATCAAGAAACCCTGCAATATGTTGCAGGACTTCAAAAGGAAGACTACTTAGATGGTCACTATGTAAACCCAGCACACAGTTTCTAGCAGGCTCTACTAACACTGTAGATACAGATGGCTGAACTCCAAATGACCTCAAATGGTGGTCATGTATAATCTTTGCTCCTTGTGTTGACGGACAAAATCTACGCTGCGAATAGGTACAACCATAATATGCTAGAGGACACCTCTGTTCCATCCAGCCATTGAGTCCAGCATGAATGTCACCATGCACGTTCTTAAAATGTGATGAGAATTCTTTTCTTCTAAATAACTGTCCACAAACAAATGTAAACATTGGACGCTGCTTGGGCTGGTACCTAGCGACACATTCCAATACTAAGTCCAGCCCCAGTGTCTGAAAAGGGCTTGGATTTGAAAGCTGTGGGTTGGCATGATCACAAGCTGAAGCTGAAGCTATTTCTCCAACCATTGTATTTGTAGCTAAAATGGCAGATGGAAGTGAAAAAGTCTGAGTCCCAAAGTCAACATGATAAACATCAGCCATGCGACTATCAGATATACCCCTTCCTCCTGGAGAATCTCCTAGACAAAACAGTAATGCTGCTGTGATTAGATCTATTCCTTGGAGACCCATTGGATCTTCCGCAACTTCCAAATCTGATGTATCTACTGCTTTATCTTCCTTTGGTTTAGACCAACATGAATTTGAAAGAAATTTGAATGAAGGAGGGTGACTGAAAGATAAGACATCCACATTCCGTAGGTCCCCTAAGTCTACTTTTTTCCAACACAAGTCTTCATCATCATCTGGCATGAGGATATGCTGGACTGTGCCATTAGGCAAAGCATTAGGTGGTATTACTTCCCTAACCTGTGCTGCTACTAAAAGTGAACTAGAAGGTTCTGAAGGGCCATCTGATGCTACACATTCTCCATTTGTTAAGTTACTTTGTTTTGAGTCAGTATGTAAATCCTGGTTCTGCTCAATGACCTGTGGACATATATCTTCCAAAGGAAAGCCATTACAAAGAGCAGAAGTGCCGTAAGAACTGGCATCCAAGTCACATAATAAATCAGTTGAACCATTTTGTTCCAACTGAGCATTCTGACTCGTGTCCTTATGGTCAATCCCACCTACTGCTCCCATCTCATCCTCATAAAGATGGTCCTGGTCTTTCAGGTTTCTACTCTGTAAGCTTCCTCTGGCATTCTGCTCTTCATTCATTTCATTGGGGGAAGCACAAAGGCTCGTACTTAACATGCCAATGTCTCTTGTAGCAGTATTCAGAATATCTAAAGCAGCAGCCAGACTTCGGGTTGTTTCAACAGTAGCTTGATAAAGTGCACCATAAGATTCTTCATCAACGGATACCAAACCATTAGTATGTGGTATTTCTGAGACACTTGGTTTAACTGAGATCTGTTCTCTAGGTTCTGACACTTTATCAATTGCTTTTGACATCATGGTGGCTACTTTGAGAGATTCTAAGAGCATCCGTTGGTCTTGAAGGGCCAAGGCCATATCTAATTGTGCCACTTCATCAACATCTCTGCTTAGATTTTCATAAGATTTCCGGTCTGCATAACTAACTGGCCATCGGTTCCATTCCATAGTACAGCACACCACACTTGCAGGACACATTTCTAGATGTTCAGCAACTTTATTTCGAGCCATTGTAAATGGACATCCAAAGTCACTATTTAAGCAAGGCACTCGTTCAAATGGACATAAAAGTCGATGCTCATCAGCCTTACATGCATGGAAAACTGCTCCACAAACCAACGGACAACCAATCAAGTCACAGGAAATCCCAGCTTCTGGTCGTGTCATACATCGTCTACTGACACAATTAACGCAGTGCGGATGCTGCAGCTCCTCCTCCATGGCGGCCAGTCCAGCTTGGTTGTTGAGACGGAAAAGAAATAAGATGTTAGGCAAAAAGCGGCTGATTTTTAAAACAATCTTTTAAGAATAAAAATCAAATCATGATGGTATATTGGCTTATACGAGAATGAAATATATAAAATAAACATATTTAATGAGTTTATTTTACATATAATTGATCCAGCTTGAACCAACTTAAGAACATCAATTCAAGAAGTCAAAAATTCATTTTTACATAACATCTAACAATGTACTCAAAAGGCCAAATGTTTCAAAATATAATTCTTAAATTCTAGTATATTGTGTAGTATATAAATTAATGCCAAAAACAAGTTAATGCATATTTAACTTCGAGATTTCAGAGAACACCTATCTTTTTACATTTTAATTAAACTGATTATGATGTACCCCACACTGCACAGACCTCATCATATTCCTAAAAGAGAATAATCTAAATTTCATGAAAATACTTAACTAGAATCTGATTAGAAGTTTTCTTTATATTCTTTCTAAATATATAAATTCACTTCAGATTTCAGCTGTTGACCTCTCCTTGTACATATGCCTTAAGAAATTCTATAACAAATCAGGAAAATAAGGCTTATTATTAATAAAACATACAGGGCACTTAACCAAAAAATATAAGTTCTAGCTCCAGTTCTCTGACAGTGGGCCAACCACTTCCTTCTGAGGGCCACAGTTTCCATTCATTTATTCAACACTTATTTATTGCTTAACTGCCATGTACCAGACTCTGTGTTTGGTAATATATGTATGGCATATATGATAATGTATGGCAATATAAAGATAAGGAGACACAGTGCCGCTTCTCAAGGCGCTACAGCACAAGATCAGAGATGAAAGTAAAATCATGCCACTTTTTAATATGATTAACATGACAGAGAAAATAATCAATATGAGAAGAGAGTAGAGAAGAATTCACAGCAGTCTTGGAATGAGAGGTCTTAAGCATAGGAGGGTAGGGTTAAAAAGGAAGAAGGGTACTCAATGCTGAAGTAACAGTGTATCCAAATACAGAACACAAACACTGGCAAAACATGCGGAGGCACCCTCAAGTTCCCAGTGTTGCTGGACCACAGGTGACATGCACAGTAGTGTGAGAGATGAGGCAGGACAGGAGTAGGACAGATCATGGAAAGTGTGCTGTATGTTATTCTAGGGAGTTCAGACTTCAGTAGTTAGAAATCACTGAGGATTTTAAGCAAAGAAATAGCATCCATAAAATAACATGAAAGGGTTACAGATAACTAATGGTCTTCCGGCTTTTATCAAGAAAAGTTTTCTACACAAAGAAAAGAAAGCACTGCCACAATGCGCCGATTTAAATTATAATTACTAAGCCTATTCAATGTCTTTTTTTCTATAAATCTTCAACTTCTTTAATGGCTTGTTCCTATTAGCAGCAAAAACTCAGAGGACTATTTCATCTTTAAACCCTAAGTAATAAAACAGGAGCTCGCTTTTGCTACTACTTTGTTCCTATTCACTCAAGCTTTCAAAAGAAAAACAACAAATAAACAAACCCTGTTAACTTCCCATGTACTCTTCAGCCCTCTAATGTGGCTTTATTTTTACAACCACTCATTAAAACCGCTGCATCAAGATCCTCAGTGCTAAATTCAAAGGGCATTTTTTCCAGACCTCATCTTTTTTAGCCATTACATCACTTTGTTGACTAATTCCTTCTCCTTTCCGAACTTCTATCTTTTTTAGTTTCTATGATCTCACATTTCCCTGCTATTCCCCCTACCACCGGTTATTCCTTAGTCTTTTCTTCTAAAATATTTCTCTTCTTCAAGGATCCATGTTATTTCTGGTTCAATCTATACATTCTCCCAGGGTGCTCTCAATTTCTCAAAAGCTTCAACTGCCACTTATATGCTGAAAACTTACCTGTACCTCCTGCCCAGATCCCTCGTCCAAACTTCAGATCTCTACAGCTACTTATTTATTATATACCTCCACTTGCATGTGGCACAGGTAACTCACCTCAAAATTCCCCAAATTAAATTAATAATTCTCTGGATAAGAAGCCAATTTTTAGCCTATTTTTTTCACTTCAGTGCATAAGAGATTGCTAGCTCTTTCAATATTCTTTTCCATAAATTCAATCTTGCATCTAGGTGGCTAATGTAAAATAATTATTCCCCAGATTGCTATTTCTTTGTCTCTAGGACAGGCTTAATTTCCCTCAAACTCAAATAGCAAAAGTCTATCATTGACAGAGTTTTTGTTGATTAAGCAGCAAAGTTCCCAGTTGATATTATGGTACAGAAGAAAACAAGGCACACATTTATCAACAAAACTACATTTTTAAATGTTTTTAAAAATTACAAATTATGAATACTTCTGAATGTTTATTCCTATAAAATTTAAAGCCAAGGAAATGACCTATAAATTAAAGATATACTGCTAATGGGGTCAAAATAGAAGAAATGACAGACTTATGATGATATTTGTAAATTACGCAAAGAGAAACTTTAATAAGACATATTTTACTGAGTGATTAGATTGTGAAAACAGCTGTAGCTTTCTTATTTTGCAACAACTAGACTAGAGTTCATCTCACATGCTGAAGGTTATAAACTTGACTGTTACTGACAGAGAAACCTAAAAATACAAGCCGTTCCAACAGAAGTGACCAACGCTCTCAGAACTAGTAGGAACACTTTATGTTACATGCATATCACATGACTACACCAGACAGAACACATCTCAAAACATCCCTTAATTCAGATGTGTTTAAAATAGCAACTGTTATAAACAACTGAGTTAATGCATAACAGCAACAACTTTAAAAGGCAGACATAGAAGGCTCCCAAGGTTCAAAATAAATAAGACTCCTCCACACTATTCCTCCTTTGGATAAATGTTTAAAATAATAATAAATAAAAGTATCCACAGCAATGAGTCCATAACATTTATTGTTTACTGAAGTAGGCTTAAAGGAAAAAGGAATATTAACTAGGTACCTACTCTATCCTTCTTGGTGTTAATATATTCCACGTTAATGTCACTTAATCCTCCTAACAGCCCAGAGAAAACTGAGGTACAGAAAGCCTAAGTGACTTAGCCTTAGCCAAGGTCATCCATCTAGTAAGTGGCAGAGCTAGGACTGCAATCTATATCTGATCAAATATATATGGACAAAAACAGATATGCTTACTTACAAAAGTTTAAGAAACTAAGACAGCACTTCAGTAACCAGTGATGCAATTTTAAGATGTTATTTGAGGAATGGAGGTTACACAACTTTGCCTGTAGTTTATCCCAGCACTTAATCACTCTTGTGGTCAAGAAGGTCTTTTTGGTCCTTTCTAATTATAATAGCACATTACTTTGCTCTGAACATTAATGTTTTACTAAACTATTTTTTTAAAAACTTCCATATGTAATGCTCAATATAAACGTACGAACTGTTTGTAAACTGAGCTGTTTACTAAAAACAGTTATACAAAGAAGGAATCAAGTTTAAGCTCACTTTACAATTAAATATATTAAGAAATAAGATTTTTAAAAATGCACTATAAAATACCCAAAGAGTATTCTGGGGTATTCTTTCAGAATTTAAAACTTTCAGATCTATCCTCTTTCAAAATCGCTATTATCAAATTAAATATGCCTCCAAAAAGTATTTCACAATTGCTCAGGAATTCTATGAAACAAGTTTAAACTGTCAATCCCTGATTTATCGGTTGAACAGTGACACAGCAGGTCCAGCAGAAAACATATTGCTAAAATTGAGCTTCAAGCTCAAGATGAGCTTAAGTTAAAACTCCTCAATATTAAGTTTTTTAAAAAAACTCTAACACAGAATCTTAACCTTCCAAATAACATATTTATTTACACTTAAAGTTGAATGACTGGAAAAAGTTTCATTAGACTGCAAAATATTGTAAGTGATTAAATGCTTTACAATAGTTTCAATTTTCTCCAACAGAAATTCCAGGCCAACTCATAATCTGCAGCTGACAAGTAATCCATAAAAACAATTTTAAGACATGCATTTGCCCATACAATGAAATGAGATCTTGTTATTAAAGGCTATTTCTGGACATAAAGATATTGCCTTCAAAAAAGAATTATTTTTCCAAATTCATTACAGTACATAGGGCAATAGATAAATAAAGAACGGCAAATTAGCATGACTTTAAAATGTGCTAAATCAAGTCATCCAAATATTCAACACAACTTGCTGCCTCAAGCTGATCTTAATGTCTGCCTCTGCCTCAAAGACAGACAGACACAGATACACACACACACACACACACACACACACACACACACTCCCCCCGCCCCCCACCCCGTTGTCTCAAATCTTTATCAGCTTAAATGGTACTTTCCCACATACCCAAAGGCAAAGTATGACACAGATTCCATATATTCATGTGCTCATTACACACTGCATTTTTCCTTGGTAATACTAGTCATGTCGGTCCTGCTGTTTAGTCACTAAGTCATGCCTGACTCTTCTGCGACCCCATGGACTGTAGTCCGCCACGCTCCTCTGTCCATGGGATTTCCCAGGCAAGAATTCTGGAGTGGGTTTCCATTTCCTTCTCCAGGGGATCTCCAGTGTTCCTTGTATTCAAGATTGTGCTTCAATTAGAGCCTCGTTTATTAATATGAGTGAAATTATTATAATACAAGAAATAACCAAATGGATTCCAAAACAATTATTGATCCATGGAAAGCTACATACATCATAAAAACATACAGAAGGTGGAAACATTTCTGACTAGTGCTGCGAGATTTGTCTGTCATATGAAAATCTGGTGATTGGGAAAATCTCCATTTTATGGATGTGGGAAGAAAGTTCAAGATGAATTATATTTTTACATTGGTTTGTACATAGATTCTGAACCAACATCGAGTCTAGATAATGCATTCATGAGTCAAGGCATTTCTGTTTGACCATGACACTGCTGTAGAATCATAACCTGTTAACCAGTGTATTACTTTCTACCTATGAAACTATT